CTTGATGTGGGGACATGTACGTCATCTGTTACAGTTGTGTATGTGCAGGAACAAGAGTCGGTCAGGAGCCCACAGACCTGGACCTGGAGTCGCAGGTCCAGTTATTTAACGACACCGCCCCGCTCACATCAGACGCTCTGATTAAGATATGAAAGCCATGTTTCAGTGGAACAGGAACTTAAAGGAGCCTGGCTGCCAGACGGTCGCTGAGACTCTGCTGTGACTCGGGGTGGAGGATGGAGAAGAAGCTGGATCAGAGCTGACAGGCAATCTTCTCTAATGCTGCGAATCCTAAATTACAGCCCTGCTACTGAACGTCAGGGTTAATTCCCTCAGCCAGTGTAATGAAATGATTCCACATGACACCTCTGATTGGTTCCTCTGGAGCCCCGCCCACCAGAGGAGCCCCCTGTCACGATGGCTTCAAAACAGACATGAGATGGAAATGACACAGGAAAACGATCCCTGCAGCTCTTCTGTTATTGTTTATTAATAGATGTGACATAATATTTGACAAGAACAGAAGAACAGTGTGTTATGTATTAAACATATATTCTATATATATATATATACATATATATATATAAAGAAATGTAGAGGGATTGGTTCGCAAATCTGCACCACTGACACACGCCAGCTGTCTACTTTATTTTGCAGCCATACAGCCAATCTGCCCCCCCCCCACAGCACAACCTCAGCCGAGATTACCAAATGACTCCCTCATTTACCACCTACCGCGATCCCCGCATAAAAGACCCCCCCTTGTAGCCCTCCCGTACCCTCCCTCCTCCTGACACCCCCCCTCCCACCTCCATCAGCCTGTGTTTTTTGTTCAGTGCCATCAGGCAGATCATGTGACAGGCAGCCGCCTCTCTTGCTCCGTACCTGAGATCGCCTCCTCCTCCACCTCCTCCACCTCCTCCATCTCCTCCATCTCCTCCACCTCCTCCTCCAGTCTCCTCCTCCCCCTCCTCCTCCAGGCTCCTCCTCCACCTCCTCCTCCCGTCTCCTCCTCCACCTCCTCCTCCCGTCTCCTCCTCCACCTCCTCCTCCCGTCTCCTCCTCCACCTCCTCCTCCCGTCTCCTCCTCCACCTCCTCCTCCTCCAGACAAAAGCTGCTGCGCTGAAAAACACTCAGGGTGGAGTCACTTTAAAACACAGTGACTGAAGCAGGGTGGAGGGGAGTGTCTGCACAGGTGGTGGATGGGAAATGTAGTTGGAGCCGGACAGGAAGTGGATCGTCTAATCTGCAGTTGATTAGCAAAGAGCTGCAGCGTGAAAATACAGAATGTAACTGAACGACAAAGACAACAAGGTCAGTCACACTTGTACTTCATGTCCTTTTATTATGACCTCATAGTTATGTTTTGTTGCTAGGCGACATCTAGTGGTCATAGTAATTATGACAGGAGCAGAGGGAAAAGTGTCAGTGACGTAGCATAAAGAGAGACAGAGTCCACGTCAGGAGGAGGTGGTGTTGGATGAATGTGACACAGGAGAGTGGTGTGTTCGATTCCCATGTTTCTATTATCCATTACCGTACGTTGTTATTATTGTAACCATGACAACAAAGTGATGTTGAGGAAGTTAATTTAACGCGAATCATGATCTTTTGCTAACACCTAACCAAACCATGACTGTTATTATTGTAACCATGGCAACGGTCGATACAGTCACATGTTGATTATGGTAACCATGACCACCGAGCTCCGCTACGCATGCCGTTAAAAAAAAAAACAACCTGTATGGATGTCCCTCCCACCTGAACAATCACATACCTACCTTTGTCGCCATGGTTACTATAATAACGGCCATGGCTTAGTTAGGTTTAGGAAAAGATCAGGATTTGGGTTAAAATAAGTATCTTCTCAACATTACACCATCTTTGTTGTCATGGTTACAATATAGAATAAATGACTAGTTTCACATGGGAATCGAACAGCGCTCTCCTAAGGGGTTGAAAAAAGAAAGACCCAATCAGAGAGTGAGCGTGGGCGTCTATGTCATCGTTTCCAAAGGTCTTTGATCAAACTACAGACGACATCACAACCCCAGAGTTTTCAAAGTAAAATGGGTCCAGCAGCGTTTCCCAAACTCTGCGTTATAGACGCTTGAAAACGGCGGAGTCGTGTGGACGGGAGGAGGAAACACAGGAAAAGAGATGCCTCATGGAGAACAGGTTGATGACTCAGAGTTGATCCTCTTGACTTCCTCTGGTGGTGATTAGAAGAATTATCATGTCAACAGTCGATTGTAACTGTCAGTCTCTATTGATCCGCTGAGCACAGTGACCTGATGCTTCATTATAATCACAGAGTAACTGTCCTTTAATATCTGTCTCTGGATCAGCCACTAAACAAGCTGAAGAGGAGGAGCCGTTATCTCGTCAGCCCCTCACCTGATCACACTGAGGAGGTCAATGATCCTTATTGATCGGAGGCGGCCTTTAGTTTGGACGGAGGAGCTTTGAATCAGCTGTCACTGATAACAGCTGATCACAGACACACAACACACTCTGTCAAGGTCACTCTGTCACACTGATGCTCCTCCACATGATACTGACTAATTATAGACTCATAACCAACAGGAGACACTGATGTTTCTTTCTGTGTTGTGTGAGTGTTTAAGATTAAAGGAGCTATATGTACATTTTTCCTATTGCTACATAGCTAACGTTAGCATTAGCAGCTGTCTCATCAAACTTCATCATCCTTTACTCACCAACAGCTGTGTCCAGATGTGGAGGGAGACAAACACCACTGTAAATTTATTCTAGTCCATTTCAATTCAACAGGATTTATTGTCAAGACATTTTCAATGTGTTGCCAAATAATTTGACTCATTCAATGGAATCTAATTATCAAAACAAAATGTCAGTAACAATATTAATATAATAAAATACAATATAAGAGAGGGAGATGGAGAGACTGTGCTCTGCTGCCACGTGATTGGCTGACTGGTCAATTGCACGAAAGAGCAGGTGTTCCTAATAAAGTGAGAACAGTATCAGCTCCATGTTGTTGTCTTTGTTCAAAACAGTCACATAATCACTGTGTGTAGATACATCGCATGTATGTTCACCTTGACCTTGTTCTCATCAACCTTTACCACACACACACACACACACACACACACACACACACACACACACACACACACATTGTTCATGTGTTCAGCTCTTAGTTTGGACGTCTGGTTAAAGGTCAACATGGCGATCTCCACCGCTCTCTTCAGATCAACACGTCCTCCCTGACATAGTGGCTCTGCTCCTCTGGTCTACACGCTCTGTCCGTCTGTGTGTCTGCACCTGGTGTGGTTGATTTGATCTGAACTGAGGCGGATTTATTTTTCTCTTTTCACTGTTCTCTCCCTGAACAGGTCACAACCATCTGATGGATTTATCAGTAGTTTAGCTTTAGCTAACCTGTGGTAGGTCTCAAGGTTTCAGACCACCAACAAACTGCACCATACCAAGACCAGAGACCGTAAATAAAGATGGACGTAGCTCTGTGACGTCACCCACAGGTTTCTGAGGAGCAGTATTGGAGCTCAGAGTGAGCTGCACCATCGTCGCCATCTTGGCAGTGTCTGACTCCGCCCCCTAACTCCCAGGTAATCCAAAAATGGTCAAAGAGGGGGAGCGTGTGTGGAGCTGAGACTTTGGTGCATACAGGTTTATTAACTGGCAAGCATATGCTCCTGTTACCATCATTAGCACAGCTGGACATCTTGCTCAAAGGCTAACCCAAAGCTAATTAATTTGCTGGCTAATTAGCTAATGAGCTAAGCTAACAAGCCAAGTATGGTGATCACAGACACTCATACCTGCTACGTTCAGTCACTCAAATTAGCTGAGGTGACACCAAACAGACAGCTAGCAGCTAGCCAACTACTATAATGGCACCCACCTGTCACTCAAAGAGGCCACGCCCCTCAATCCTCCATAACTGTAGTCGTTAATAAAATGTAAACAGGTGAGTTTTATAAACAGGTGTCATGAAGGAGGAAATTAGCTCTAGAGACCAAAACAGTTTTTGTACCAGGCTGTAAACATGTTGATTTCTGCTGTAAAGTTGGACATTTTAACATGGGAGTCTATGGGGACTGACTCACTGTTGGAGCCAGACTCTAGTGGTCGTTAGAGGAACTGCAGCTTCTGGTTCTTCATGTTGGTTTCACGTTTCAGCCTCGAAGCTGAAATATCATCACGTGACTGTAGTTTAGTTAATTAATAGCATTTTGGCTTTAAGTTTGACACCACCTGAACCGCTCATCCTCAGCACCACCACTCAATCTTCTTTGGTGCTTTAGTTGGTCTGGATTCTGGTCTGGATTCTGGTTTGGATTCTGGTTTGGATTCTGGTCCCATCAGACTCTGCTGGTCTGAGGACTCTGTCATCTACCTGTGCGACCGAGACCTTGATGTTACAGATGACATTCAATTAGTAGCAGGGAAACCAGGTCAGATCCCCCTGTGAAGACACCACCTGGCTGCCTGTCACACACACACACACACACACACACACACACACACACACACACACACACACACACACAAACATAGCTCTAAAATCCACAAATGTTTACAGCAAATGTTTTCTTAACTATTATTAATTATTACTTATTTATTTCGTTGCCTTTAGCCATCATCTATTTACATATTCATGAGCAGTTATTAAATTACATCTATTATTTCCGCGGGTCATGAAACGCCTCAGACTGAACACAGGTCCTGGGACACACCGACGCGGTCTGATTGGTCCGTGCTCTCTCAGTCTGCAACATGATTGGCTGACGGAGCCGACGGCGGACTGAACGTGGCTACACCACAGCCGGGCACGTCCGGGTACCGACCAACAGGGAGGAGGAAGCAGCTGACTGCGCCTTCAACATAAAAGCCCGGGGTGGTGCAGGAGGGAGAGTGTGACGGAGCAGTGGAGGAGGAGCGGTTAGAGACGCCACCTTCTCCCGCTGTGCACTTCCGCTACACGGCCACTGTTGTCTCGGTCCCCGCGGAGGACTGAGGTTTACTTTGTCGGGTCAATAAAGATTTTACTTTGAAAGTTTGGAGCGGAAGGTGTGACCGTGTAGTGTTGTATGAATGAAGGCTGTCAGCGAGGTGACAGACTGAGCATGAGGACAACAGGTGTGTGCTGACAGCTCGCTCTCCTCGCCAGGTAAGACGTACTTACACTCAGCCCTGATGTGCGCGGTACGGAGCACCAAACCCCGCCGCGAAATGTCGCACTTTAACACGCTCTTCCGGTTCTGACGACGATCGTACCTGCAGGAAGGTAAACAAACACTTTCCACGGTTGGACCTGAGTCCACCTTCACTTCGGCGTTCAGCCAGTCCCCCAGACAGCCCGGGTTCAGATACACGGTCTTCTTCACATCAGGGTCAGCTGTCTCTCTCTGGACCAGTGGGGTTCGACTTCAGAGACAAATAATAATAAATATAACCATATTTACTCATTAAAAATTAAACTTTATTCAACCAAAACGCGGTTTATTTATATTTTTTATTAGATTCAGGAAGTGTCCCGATGCTCTCTCACAAAGAGAACTGGACTCTGCTCTCAGACCAGTTCTCAGCCGAGTCCTGAGTTTTCTTGCAGGTGTTGGTGAGGTAAACGAATCTTGGCTGATCTGTCAGGTAATGCTGAGCAGGGATCGACTGATATGTCTTTTCCAGGGCCGATACTGATTATCGATAATCAAGGAGACCGATAACAGATATTTGGAACTGATACGCCGACACAAAACTACTGCTGTATAAAGGACACTCAGGTGTTTCTATTATTTTATCCACCCCAGTTCTATCAGTGAATGCAGGTAAATATCAGAAACACCTCCAAACACTACATCCTCTATAATGATCATCAACAACTGTCGGAAACTATTTTAATAAAAACATTATCAGCTTCATGAAGGAGGATTTACTGCAGGACTGTTGTATCAGACTCCATCAGGTTGATCTACATGTTCCTAATAAACTGATCAGTGTATATCAGTCACTATCAGCTGTGTGCACAGACTGTAAAGAGCCTGACTGGAGTTAACTGGTTGATATCGGTGCTGTTCTCACCTGTGAACTGCTTCACCTGGTGACCTAAAGATGCTCTTTGATTTAATGGTTTCATCACTTATTATTATTATCACCAGATAAGATGTTTGACCCCTCCCCTTTTAAAATGTAACATGTTTACTCACAGATATGTTATTTTATCGATACCGAGGTGTAGCCTACAACATCATAGTAAATAAATATAAAGTGATATATACAGTAAGTGTAAATGGACGGACTGAGATCTTGATGGTAGAACATGGAATATTATATCTACCGAGGACTCTTGTTCTGACTGTGATTACATGGTGGAGCCACCTGAACATGTTTATTCAGTGTTTGAGCTGATTATAGTCGGTCAGAAAAAATCACTTAATCAACATGATTTTTTAAAAAATATTCAACAATCATGATTTGTCCAGGAATGATCAATATGTCAGTTATTAGCTTATAAAATGTAAACATTACCATCTTATTTTACATCAACACAAACTAAGATCTAACAGGTTTTATCATTTTGTCAGGATTGTCTCTAAAAACTACAATACCCATGAGTCCCAGCTGCCGTTGTCATGGAGATTAAGCCAGAGCAGTACCAAACTCAAACTTCTTAATAAAAGTCTCTAACCACTTCTCCTCGACCTCCATGGAAAACATCATGAGGTCAAAGACGTGAAGGAGAATTCATCAGGACTTTATTTAAACTAACTTTATTTATAACTTTATTTATAACACACGGACGATAAAGTCTCCTTTAGTAACCACGGAAACAAAACAAACAGGATTAAAATGTTGAACTAAGAAAACATGAAAGAAAAATACAAGAGAGAGTTGAGCCATTAAAATGATAATTCAATGAAAATAACCGAGTCGGAGGCCACAGTGAATTATATAATATATATTTTATATATATATATATATATATATTATATTATATATTATATCAGTTGGTTCTTTAGAGTTATGGAACAACATTCATGTACAGATTGTTCTGATGATGAGAGATGATGATGACTCCTGAAGATCAGGATTTCCATCAGTTCTCTATCGAGTCACAAACATAAAACAGCTGCTCTGTTGTTTCTACATTCATGTGGTAAAACTACAATCGTGTCATTTGCAAGGAATTGTGGGACGGCATTTCTCCTTTCCTTTCGTAAAGGAAGCGTCAGTGTTTCCTACGCTGAAGGAGATAAAATAGGAAGTACTTAGTTTTGTCAGCGCCATCATCTGTGATTCGCTGTTTGTTTAGCAATGCATCTTGGGAGTCGTAGTTGACTTCTGTCCTTCAGGCTTCCTGTAGCTCTGACCTTTCATCACAGCAGCAGATATGAGTGAAGGTACTGGTGCTCTTTCACTGAGACCGAGATGATTCAGTTTATTTTTCTGTTTTTGAGACGAGGGTCAAATCAATATCATGTTCATATCATCCTGATACAAATGGACGAATGATTATTGATTATCGCCCGGCTGAGGATTGAGCTGAACCTCAGCCGTCAGCAGGTAAAGATCGGGATGTGATGTATCCGGCTGTAGTTTGTGCCGCTGTTCACTCGGCCTGTGTGTGTCTCCTTCAGGTTATCAATATGGCCTCATGGATTATTCAGATGACTGTGGTGCTGCTGTCCGTCTTCGCCAACAGCAGCCAGGGGAAGAGGGACCAGGTGCTCTACTGCTCAGGTGAGTCGGCTCTGACTGGAGGGAGACATGTTTGTAGTCCTCTGCAGGTCCTGACAGTCCTCTGAGAGATCGTGTTGGAATGAACTGGACGTCGTCCTGTTTATCATTATTATACGTCTTCATAAACCAGATCTGATTAGTTTCAGATACATTTTATTGATCGTTAGCACCTGTGTTCATCGGTACTGTCGCTCTCCATTTACTGACATTCACCTGTGTTTCCCAGCATGCAAAGCAATTGTGGATGAGCTGAACTACTCGATCAGTCAGGTGGACCCGAAGAAGACCATCAACGTGGGCAGCTTCAGACTCAACCCCGACGGATCCATGAAAGACAAAAAGGTAGAGAACACCTGACCTCACACTCACCTGTCCCCTGCAGCGCTCAGGTAACTGTAGTCTGAAATTAACAATCAGTGAAACAGTAATAATACTAGACAATATATTATAATAATATGTCACAAACACTAAGGATACGTTTTCATTTTAAAATGGCGTTTAACAAACACACCTGAAAACACGTTTCTCCTCCTTCAAAATAAAAGCTGTAAAAACCTGGATATGGGACCTGGGTGCTGAGAGAGGCTGCGATCAGTGATGTGGATGGATCACTGCAGTCCTGATTGATCGGTGTGTGTGTGTGTGTGTGTGTGTGTGTGTGTGTGTGTGTGTGTGTGTGTGAGGCTGTGTGTGTGTGTGTGTGTGAGGCTGTGTGAACACAGTGAGGCTATGGATCCAGCTTATTGTTCCTGGTCTAATGAGGTCACGTCCCACTGGAACCTGGACATCCTCTACTGCCCAGGGACCCGGCTATCATGAGGTGTCCAGCTCTGCTATTGATTTCCTGGCCTTTAATCCCTGTTTAGCCTGTCACTGATAGCTGCTGCCACTGATGTGAGGCTGGGTGAAGGCAGTAAAATATTCTCTACGTCTCTGTGTTTGTTATCTGTGAAGTGAGAGAGTGAAACGTGCTGACGGTTGGCCGAGCGGCCTGTGAAGTCTTCAGTCTGCTGTGTCCTCTGACGGGAGACACCGTCCTCTGCATCTGACCTGAAGTCTCTGACCTCATCTGCTTTAAAGCTGCGTTTAACTCTGCAGAATGACACGTGATACGTCACGACTGATGAGACCCAATCAGGAGGAGACGCAGGTGTCTGGATCGTCGTTTCCAAAGGTCTTCAAACTAGTTTTCAAACTACAACAGGATCAGCAGCGTCTGTGTTTGAGGGGCTCAGTGACGACAGCAGGAGTCGACGCACTGAAAGTGTTTTAAAACTTAAACGAGTCAGTGTGGATGAAGCCTGGCTCCTCCGCCGCAGCAGACTGAAAGCTCTTAATTTGAAGGGAGTACCTCCAGGAAAGCTGCAGGTCTTCTTCTGCAGTTCTGTAAACAGTGCCACCACATGGTGCAGTGCCGCAACTGCAGTTACAAATGACGGAAATTTGAAAACATGAAGACACCTGTCAGAGTTTAAGGCGACATCTTAAAGGGACAGTTCAGGTTGTGTGAGGTCGTCACATACAGTCGGTACATTACCTGCAGTAGATGATGATGATGATGAGCGCGGTGTCAGTTAGGAAGCCGACCCACCGACAGAGTGTGAGAGCGATGTGCTGCTGTGGGCGGGGCCATAAGAAAAAACGTGTTTTAGACACGTGAAAACAGCACTTGTTGGTGGTTCAGCTTCCTAACTGACACTGCGCTCATCATGATCTACTGCAGGTGATGTACCGACAGTATGTTTCTACCTCACACAAGCCCACGTCACACAACCAGAACTGTCCCTTTAACATCAGCGTCTCTACAGCCTCCAGTTTAATGATGACTTTAATGCTGGACTGAAACCTCCACGATTTCTTCTTCTGTGGTTTTAAATGTCTCCTCCAGCTCTGCTGACAGACTGGGAATCTGTCATCGCCGCAGATGCAAACGGTTTGCGGTCGTGATGGCGCTGGTCACCGGGACAGCGCTTCTCCTCCTCTGCTCCTCGCTGACACTAACCTCCACCTGTTGCTTTGTTTGCTCCATCAAATGTTGCTGAGCGCAGAAGAAGCCAAACCTTGATCCCATGCCCTCTCGGCTCCCTCCTTTTCAGCAGCTTTTGACCCGCTGTGAATCGGAGAGGGAGGGATGTCACAGCTTAGATGCCATCAGTGAGGAGGATTTGCAGGTTTTAAGTCTCTGCTCTTTGGCCCCCTCACAGTAGGACTTCCTGGGGGCATGGGGCTGCTCTCTGGCACAAAAGTTAAACCTGCCTGCTGCAACAATGACACATTTAAGGCCTCCAAAGACATTGAACTTAGTTGGAGCAGCGAGCTGATCTCATAGAGACCGGTGGGAAGTCATGCATTGAGAATGAGAGGATGCACAAAGGCCGGCTGACACAGTGACACATAATATCATGGCCCAGAAATGTGACTGAGCGAGGGGACATCCACAGAGGGTTTTGTTTTCCCTCCGCTGAGGTTCTTAAAGCAGTAGCTCAACAGAAATATGCCGATGAGAGACGGAGGATATCAACCTTATCTGTGTGCATTAGAGGAAGAGGATGTGGTCTGAGCAGGACACGTTCAGCAGAGTCAGAGGTCGTATCAGAAAGTGTTAAAGTACATCAGTCAGATCATCATCAGAGCAGAGCTGTGACGGGAACAAAGACGGAACAGATCAGACCACATGAAGCTATTAGACTATTACAGCAGCTGATGTCTTCAGGTGTTACAGCCACAGGTGTAGAACTGCTGGAGCGCACCGCAACCATGCGCCGCTACTCTTTTCCCTCCAAGTGAAGAAATAAAACAGCCACAGTTCACAGAATCCAGCTGAAGTTTATCTACATTTTTAATCTCTTGAAGATCGGATCAACACTAAAGAGCACGTCACGTAGAGAGCTGATGAAAACAAATGAAATGGTAAAAGTTTAAGGTCTATCGATTGATTTCCAAACGTCAGTCACGCATCAAGTAACATGCAAGAAAACATTCCACCTTAAAAGATGGCTGTAGCCTCTGAGCTGCTCAGTGATTTAAATCGTTAATTAGTAAAGATGAAAAAACAGAAAACATCCGTCGTCATTTATCTTTCACTCTCCTTACAGTTTCTTTATCTGTGATGCTTTTACATAGAAACACGTCAGTCAGTCAGTTACACCTTAGCTTAACTCTCCAGACAGATGTGACCGGAAACATCCCAGTTTTTAACTGTGAATAAGAAACAGGCGTCATGTGTTGTGCTTGTTTTGGCCAACAGAGGGGGCTGGTTGTTACTACAGCAGCTTCAGAAATAAAGCTAAAATCAACTAAATAGAATTATCTGAATCATTTTTTTTTGTTGTTGTCTCTAGGCAGAGAAAAGGTTAGCTGGCTCACTCATTGGACAGGAGTTCATAACCAGGCAGTAAGCTAACAAAAACAAACATACCCAAAGCCCCCCAGCCGAAACTTGAAAAAATTATTTTTATGTTGGAAGAAGTGAAGATGAAGAAGTGACCCGACTGTCTGCAACAATATTCACAACCTGGAAAACTTTCATGAGAAACGTTTTTGATTCTTTTGATCTGTGGACACTTAAGAACTAAAGGAATATAAATAATCGAGGAATAGATAGACAACTGGACTTTGCGATACCTTCAAAGGTAGGGAGCCATTGTTGTATCAGTCGTCCTTTACCTTAGTTTATTACAGAACAACAGTTACCATGGTCAAAATAAACCACCATTTAAATGATATGTTGATGCCGAACTGGAAATGTCCCCGTTTTTCAATTCAGAAATCTGCACACCTTAGCTTAGCTACGTTTACATAGCCTAGCCTGTTAGCTTAGCTTGACCTCTGCCTTCTCCTCTGAACGGATGTTTCCAGTGAGGCTTTATTTGCTCGACATGAGTTGGTCAATTCTCAATTTGTCTATATCTTTTTTTTAATTTCAACTCCACCTTCATTCAGACTAATTCTGAGGAGGGGCGTCGGTCTGTTCTGGACCATTCGTGGATTTCATTTGTACTTAAAAAAACACTACGTGGACCATCATGGATCTGGTCCCTGGATGAGGCCCCTGTGACCCTCCAGCCCTCTGAGGATACTGGAACTATTTCTTGATGAACAGCAGCGTATTCATCCACCCAGCGCTTCTGTCTCAGTCTCTGGTTGTAGTGCAGTTTTTTGCCGGATGCAGTTGGTAGAGTCCAGATCCTGGTTTTAGTCTCAATCTCCTGTTCGTCCGGGAGGGTCCAGACCTGACTCTGGATCTGGTTCATGTTGATCAGCAAAAAATCCCTCACTGGCTTCCCACTCAGAAATGGATCCAGCCCTAAAACAATTATTTATTTACAATTATTATTATTTCACAGTTATTTATTTTTCTTCGGACATGGCTAACAGTGTCCCCCTGCTTCATGCTAAGCTAAGCTAACCATGTCTGGACTCTGGTCTTTCCCCTGACGTAGCTGCAGGCCTCACCTGTCCTCCATCAACCAGCTCTTCTGTGTTTTCACGTCACCGTCAGAATTAGCTGCTAATTACAAACTCTTATTTCTCTCCTGCCGTCATGAAGTCAAACCTTTATTATTCACTAATCCATGTTTTAAACGATCTAATATGACGTCTCAGCTTCTCCCTCCTCTCTTGCACTTTGATGACAAATTATTATTGTTATTATTATTAATTTATGAGTCTTCATTGGCCCGAATCACCGGGACAATGAAACTGAAAGGCCCCTGTCCACAGCGGTGCAATAATGGCTCCCTGTCCAATGGGAATTGAATGGAGGATAGCATCCCTGAGAAGCCTATTCTCTGGCCCGACTGGTCGCACCCCCCCGCCCCCGCCCCCCCGCCCCATTCTTCAAACAACGCTGTGACTGACAGCTCCTTTCACCAGGCTGCGACTGGCAGGGAAGGGCTTTAATTCCAAACCATTTTGTAGCATGGCATGATAATGACTCAGACCCAAGCCCACGGGCGGAGATGGACCGACGTGGTTTCATTGTGGGGCGGAGGGGAGGGGAGGGGGCTTTTCTTTTTTCTCTTTTTTAAAAGGGGGGGGGGGGTTTGGATGAATTCAGGACTTAGTTTGAAGTTTAGATTTCAAACCCAGTTTTCTGGAATCTGTGTTTATATGATGAGAACGGACGAGTCTGAGTCGCGATGATGATGATTGATGAAGATTTGATCTGTTTGTTGAAGACACTGATTCACCTGCAGCTCGTCACATGAGGATTTATAAGAGATAAACTACATAAAGTTAACACTTACATGCTACTTGAAAATGCATCAGTAATAGTAGTAATATAATATAATATAATACATTTCATTTCCATCTGAGCACATGTGATAATTCATGTTTGTTTTTAAACAAAAGAAATGAAGTGAGAAGAAATTCAAATCTAAATGATTAAAGTTCTCACAGGTTAAACATTAAAAACTAGTTCCTCAGTGTTTCTTCTTTAAATTATTTTATAATAACGGTCTAAATAAATAAATAATAAAAAGTCTATAATAACTGTGTTCACACACACCAGAGTGATTTTATATATCTGACGTATTAATGATGTAATGAATCGAACTCTCATGTATTTTATCTAAAAACATCCTGATGTGAATTAATTCTTTACCGTGGGAAAATAAACATTAATGTCAAAACATAATAATAATAATTATTCATTGGTAACATTACTGGTCATAGTCTCTACTTTCACATCTTCAGTGGATGAAATGTCAAAGTCATCACAGCAGATTTTGATTGACAGATGAACCTCATCTTCATCGGCTGGCGTGACCTACATCCCTCAGAGCTCGACCTCCGACCTTTGACCCTGTGCTGTAACATTCTGGTGACTTCCTTCCTGCCTCAGCACAACAGTGATGTCAAGCTCAGGGATCAGAACCAGGTCCTGAAGAGACCAGAGGACCAGAGAGAGGACTGAACCAGGTCCCGAAGAGACCAGAGGACCAGAGAGAGGACTGAACCAGGTCCTGAAGAGACCAGAGGACCAGAGAGGACTGAACCAGGTCCTGAAGAGACCAGAGGACCAGAGAGGACTGAACCAGGTCCTGAAGAGACCAGAGGACCAGAGAGAGGACTGAACCAGGTCCTGAAGAGACCAGAGGACCAGAGAGAGGACTGAACCAGGTCCTGAAGAGACCAGAGGACCAGAGAGGACTGAACCAGGTCCTGAAGAGACCAGAGGACCAGAGAGAGGACTGAACCAGGTCCTGAAGAGACCAGAGGATTCATATTTACTCGGAGGCTGGAAACACAAGACAGGAAGGAAAACAGATGGTGGAGAGGCCCTTTGTCAAAGTGTGTGTGTGTGTGTGTGTGTGTGTGTGTGTGTGTGTGTGTGTGTGTGTGTGTGTGTGTGTGTGTATAATGTAATCAGTGGGCTTGGCCCGGAAGGGAACACAGCCAAAGGGGTCAGGGAATAATAAATCTGCATTGTTACAAAATCCAGTTCATCTGCAAGATGCCCTCAAACACCCCCACCCTCACCCAACACCCCCACCCACCCAACACACCAAGCTAAAAGACTCCTCTCCTCACCCCCCCTCTGCCACCTTTTGACCACAGAAGACAAGGAAGATTTCCTCCTTTGATCAGTGGAGGGTGGAGGAGGATGAATGGCTGAAAGGAGCAGCAGAGGCAGGGGTGGGGGGTGGGGGGGTGGGAGGCAGGGGTTGAGGGGAGCCCAGGAGATGAGCTGTTTACCCTGCACTTGGCTCCTGTTGAGGCCTCCTGCTCCTCCAGCTCCTCCACTGACCCCACCCTTCTCAGGAAACCAACCCCTCCCTCTGGCTTTCTCCAGCCTGGTCAGAGGTGGAGAGAGCACCACCCTGTCCTCGCCCCCTCACCCCCAGCCGTCACCCCTGTCACCCAACATCCGCCCGGGGACGGAGGAGCACCTGTCTTGACCCGTCTAGACACCGCCGCCTCCTCAGAGGGGGGAGAGGAAGAGGACGGTGGAGGCTGGATGAAGAGGTGGGGAGGGTCTTCACACAGGTTAAAAGTCAGAGTTCGTCAGTGAGGAAGGAGAAACCAGCGGAAACAGGAGGTCACCATGACGACCTCTCCGAGGAAGACCACCTCTTCTTCCTCACCATGAGCAGAGCCTTTGTGTTGTTGCCGGGCAGCGACACAGGAAGTGTCAGCTTCATTATCATTATTATTATTATTATTATTATTATTATTATTATTAATCCATGTGTTTCGTTTCTGGACTCAGGACCTGATCCTGATCCTGGACTCGCTCCACCAGCTGATCGTCTCTCTCTCTCTCTCCCTCTCTCTCTCTCTCTCTCTCTCTCTCTCTCTCTCTCTCTCTCTCTCTCTCTCTGGTTGTGACCAGGTTCCTTTCGCCCGCTCAGAGACTCACCTCAGCGAGCTGCTGGACGCGGTGTGCGGCAGCATGAGCGACTACGCCCTCCACGTGGACCCTGACACTCAGCACAGACAGTACATGAGGTTCGCTCCCAGGACCGGCGGGAACACCGGGGTCTTCCCCGACTTCAAGAACTTCCAGTTCGACGGCCCCGAGTCGTCCGAGGCCATGAAGTTCGCAGTGAGTGGAAAAAGAGCAGTGTGATGAATGAACTGTGATCTTTAGAGATGTGTGGATTTACAGACCAGTTCTCAGGGTCCTCGCTGCTTTCAGACCAGTCACCAACTAAACTGTGTTTCTTCATTAAATCTGTGTGAATCAGTTGCTAGGAAACATGTAGCTCTGTCCAATCAAAAGCAGCCAACTGGATAAACAGGAAGTGTTGTAAAGTTACTGTGAGTTAACGACCAAGGAACAATTAAATAAAGTAGATATGATTTGATATAACACACACACACACACACACACACACACACACACACACACACACAGATGATATTGCTGTAGTTAGGAGTAAGAGGGAACAATGTGATTGCATTAACCTCAGCAGTCTTAATTAATTACCATTATTATTATTATAATGTTTTATTAATCTGAGACACGTCGACTTACCTTTGTTAAATTTAATTTAAAATTATTGTTTTTACTGAACTATGATGATGATTTATTAATAATGTTTAAAGATCATAGAATTAATTCTATAATTATTCATTATAAGATAATTCAGTTTAAAAAGGAAGAGAAAAAATAATTTTTCACATTTTTACCAAAGAAATATTAAAACAACAAATATCAAAGAAATTTAAACAAAAAAAAAACAAAAAACAAATTCTGAAGAAAAATTTAAAGATTGTTTTTATTTATTTATTTTTTTAGTCTTTGCGTCTCTGTTATTTTACACTGACACACAGGTTCAGCTCAGGTGTGTCATCTTCTTCTACTCTCTAATTTCAGGTTGTCGTAGGTTTTTCCTGCAGGTCTAAATGTTCAGTACCTGTGTGTGTGTGTGTGTGTGTGTGTGTGTGTGTGTGTGTGTGTGTGTGTGTGTGTGTGTGTGTGTGTGTGTGTGTGTGTGTGTGTGTGTGTGTACAGAGTAAAAAGGTTGAAGGTTGGCACATGATGTTGATGATGCTGAGCTGCTGCATCATGTGACCAAATAGATTTTTATGAATGAAACAAACGTGGATCATGTTCCAGCTGTAGTGTAGCTGCACTGCGTTCACACGTCATAATAACTCGCAGCTCAACCTGAGTGTGAGTCCAGGTCTGAGTCTTCACTCTCTTCACCCTTCAGATCTGGGTTTTTCAGACCTGTTTCTAAGCTGAAGTGAATCCTCATCCCCCTGAGCTGGAGTAAGATCCCGTTCTGTTCATTTCTAACGTTGGCGCTAACTTCACATCACAGGTCGTTTGTGCGGCTGGCTCCTGCACAAACCCTGAAATAACAGACTCAGTGTCGGTGTCAGGGGCCGAGGCCGGGGTCGGGCTGTCGGTGAACGCAGCCCTGTGACCACCGAGCCGTCAAGATGGCCGAACTGGCAAAGAGAGGGAAAACATGGCCTCCACTCTGCAAACGCCGGGCCCACCATTGTGCGAAAAGATGTGACAAACAGTGTGTGTGTGTGTGTGTGTGTGTGTGTGTGTGTGTGTGTGTGTGTGTGTGTGTGTGTGTGTGTGTGTGTGTGTGTGTGTGTGTGTGTGTGTGTGTGTGTGTGTGTTGTGTATGCATGACCGAGCCACCCCCCCACCCCCCCAGGCCAATCCTTTCCTCTGCTCTTGTGTTTGTGTCTCAGTGTGAGTCGGTGGTGGAGGAGCTGGAGGATGATATCATCTCTCTGTTCAGCCGGGACGTGGAGCAGGTGCACGAGGAGCTCTGCAGCAGAGTCTCAGGTACCACAGCTTGTACCACCTACACACACACACACACACACACACACACACACACACACACACACACACACATACCTCACCCTCCTCCCCCCTCTATGGAATCAGCAGCAAAGTGGACAGAACAAAAAAGAGAAATAGTAGATAATGATATAATAAGAACAATTACAATATTTAAATATGACAAAAATAGCAGCAGAGAAAAGATATTGCACAGTTGGTGTGTGTTAATTATTGCACATGTTGAGTTACAACCTACATCTCCAACCAACCAATAGGAATTCAGCACGAAGTGACGGCTACATACGTTTATTCATCCTAAAAAAAAAACACCTCAAACTCTCTCTTCCCTCTTCATCACCAGGTCCACATGCTCCTCCTCCTCTTTGGACTTTTTTAATGCACATAAATAATATAATATAATATAATATAATATAATATTGTAGCTGACAGTTCGGGTGTTAATCATCGTTCAGTCAACAACCTTGAAAACCTGGAAAACACATGGAAAATGAGAGAAGAAGTATTAGACAGTGTTATATAGACAGTATTTTGAATAGGGCTGCTGTTTTATTTGTCAATGCTGTGAACGCAGCCTTGACGTCACATCACATGCTAACTGTGATAATTTTTATAGTACATATATCTATATATATATCTATCTATCTATATATAGATAGATATATATAGTTTAATAGGTAGTCTATAGATGAACATATTCTTCCAAACTTGTTTTAAACTGTTGAATAATGGGTTAGCATGTCTGGTTCAGTTGCTTGCTAGCTTGTTTTAAACTGTTGAATAATGCTAGCTACTAGCTTGTTTAGCCTGTAGCTAAAGGTTAAAGGTTCGCGGTTTCAAATGTAAGTTGGTTCATTACTGAGAGTTGATCATAATAAATGTGAAGCGGAGGTCACTGTATGTTAGTCAAACACCGGCTAAATATTCGCTAACGGCTGTTTTTGCTTTGCTAGCATCTTTGTTAGCGTCACTTCAAACCCAATGCTGCGTTGTTCAGGTAAAACAGACCATAATATGACATGAAATCTTTAGCTGGGTGTGGTTAACCTGGTTAAAGACGTCACTTCCTGTAACTAGTAAAGCAGCTAAAGTGTGATAAGCTGATGCAGTAAATAATCTGAGCTAATTCAGCTTTGAATCGTACGTTTAGCTGTGAAGTTCAGTCTAGATTTGTCAGTAGGTCACTGTTTGTGTTATTGGTTCAGGCAGCAATGGTTGATATAATTAATGAGGAAAAAGATCAGTCAGATTATGAATTAATAATGATAGCTTTTATTTCATATGTTCCTGTGATGAATTTGTCATAATTTCATCATTAATTAATCCTGTAATGAGACGATTTCATAGATAAGTAAAGATTGCACTTATTTAAAATCAGATAGGAACATATTGGTGTATAGAGGGATTCCTGAACTCACAGTGTTTGAATAGTGTTTAACACAAACTCACAATCTCAGAAATGATCCTAATGAACCGTCTGAACCTTCAACAGCAAATTAAATCTTTGTTACCGCGTCACATTCGACACGTAGACGAGTCCTGAAGCTGGACTCTGATGTGTTTGTCTCTGCTCTTGATTCCAGACTACTGCAGAGCCGGCGGCCACACGAACGAGGAGTTGTAGTGTTTGACAGTCAGAGGACGGAGGCGGGACCAGGGACCAGCAGAGACTGTAAAAGCTTTTGACGAATGATCGATTAAGTTTTTGAATAAATAAAAGAGGAAATCTTGACAAAAAATATTGTGCACTTTAGTTTCTGTCTGAGGTTTGAGACAGACGCTGATGTCACTCGTATTATTATCAGACCCACACCGAGCGCTGACAGACTGTGTTTCACATGCAGGAAATATAATAATATTTTACGTCAGCTGATTCATTTAAATGATATTTCATCTCCACATGTTTCCCTCTGTTTGAAAGAAAACTGAAACACTAAATGAACTGAATGATGAATCCGTTAATTAAAGAAATGATACTAATTTAAGTTATCACACCAGTTATTCTCTGTTATTTCAGTGTGTGTGAACATGATGCAGGCTGTCGTTGTGAAACAGGAACATACATTCATCTGCTTCTCTGACCACGTCTCCTCCGGCTCGATGGAAAACATCATGAGCTGAAGGAAAGGTGTGAAGGAGACTTCATGAGGACTTAGGAAAAGATTCTGACTGCACTGACACAAGGATTTTATTTAAACTAACTATAACACATGCAGGATAAATCCTCCTTTACTGACCGCAGAAACTAAACTAACAGGACTGAAATGTTGAAATAAGAAAACATGAAAGGAAAATATAAATGGAGGAAGTTGAAGCTGTTAAACTGATTAAATAGAAATAAGAAACTGAGCAAGAAATCAGAATAAATTATATTCATGTTTCCTGGCGCTTTTGACATTTCTATACAACTGTTAAGTGGAGAAAATTATTTTTTTTGCCATTTTTCATTTGGTGATTTAGTGAAATTAGATGATGTATAAACTATAGTATTTAGTTATGATGATGATATTGTTTTTTCTTGTTTATTTTTTTGATTTCCTGACTGGATTCAAAGAGAATAAATCTATATTTATGGATTTGGGCTTCAGTTGATCAGACAAGGATTTCCATCAGTTCTGGATCGAGTCACAAACATAAAACAGTTTCTGTTGTTTCTACATTTACGTGGGTCTGCGGAGGTGAAACTACAACGGTGCGTCGCTTTAAATGTTGCTGCACCAAGGAATTGTGGGACGGTATTTTCTCCTTTTCTTTCCTAAAGGAAGCTCCAGTGTTTCCTAAGTTAAAGGAGATAAGACCGGAAGCACTGAAGCTCCTTGCCTCATCATTTAGAGAAGTGGAGCAGCTCTGATAATGGCCGCCGCTCAGATACTTCCGGGTCATTTCACTCAGTTTAAACCTGAAGACTTTCAGGCCTCAGTGTTGCTCTTCAGTCTGTGCAGAACGAGCTGCAGCTGGACGCGAAGACGCAGGTTTCCTCTCAGACAAACCAGCAGGTGTAACGCTGGAGAATCCTTTGTCTGATTGGAGCAGACGGGGCAGCAGCTGGCAGCTGATTGGCCAGAACACTGTGTATTGATATGCTAAAGCATCCACAGGGGAAGCACAGACTGTGTCAGACTGAGGCTCCTCTCAGCTCACTCATGTCTGTAGGTGTGTTTGCAGGAGACAAGACACCTGAGGAACAGCATCCAGCGGCTCAGCTCCGTTCTTCAGCTTCTGCTGCAGTAAACTAGTTGGATGCTTTTCCTCAGTCGGCCATTTTTTTTATATTGAAAAAAGTCTTAATTTACCCAGAATTCATTGTACCACAGTCCGGCTTAAGATAGCCAAGAACTAAACTGCTTTACAACAGATGGATTTACATTCTATCTGATCTCTGACAGTCTTTGTGAAAGCAGCAGTGACCTGCACAGGTGTGCTGATGAAACCATGTTTAACAGGGTCATGGGCCGTGTTTGCCCATTACTGAGATTGCGGTGAGGTTTTGGGATTTATTTAAGTTATGTAATGAGTTTTGGTAGTTTAATGTGAGAAGTGGCAGTAGAGCTGCAGAAGAGTATTGTTTTAAACAGATTTAGGGGGAGGGGCTTAGCGGTGTGAGGCTGTACTGACTTTGACAAGTTGGATATTTGTCTGTTTTTTTTCCCCTCACTGTTTTTGTAAATAAAAGCACCTCAATCTATTTTTGTGACTCAGGCCTTCCTGTTATTTTTCTTAGACAGTGGTAAACTAGAGATACCAGTTGTCTGCCTCCTCCACTCAGACTAGTTACATCCCTGTTTAACCTTGACCTTTGACCTTTAGCCACCAAAATCTAATCAGTTCATCCAAGTGAACGTTTGTGCCAAATGTGAAGAGTTTCTGTCCAAGGGTTTCTGAGATATCGTGACCTGAGAGCTTCAGGTCGTAGTTTAGATAGATAATGTAGTCACATGAGAGAGAGAGAGAGAGGGAGGGAGGGAGAGAGAGGGAGAGAGAGAGAGGGAGAGAGAGAGAGGGAGGGGCAGCAGCAGCAGGTTGTTGATCCGGTGTGAACTGTAAAAACGAACACTCGGGGTGAGGAGGGTGAATTCATTCATTTATAGAAAATGACGCTCTAAACATTTAGCAACACTTCCTCTCAGCCACGTGTCATCAGCAGCAGGTGTTTCTCCACCTTTACAGTGTGTCCTCCTCTGCTCGTTGCTCCGACTGCAGCAGCAGTAAATCTGCTCCTCCCTCCCTCCCTCCCCGGTTTCCTCTCCGCCCGGGGATTGAAGTCACAGTAGGACCCGAACAAGCTCATTGTGTAGCTGCCTGTCTGGAAATGTCAAGGAGCCCAGCTTCCACCCCTGACTGATCAAGGGTTACCAAGGTGCTGCCTGGCTCCAGGGTGACAGACGCCCCTCACACCCGCTAACCGCTCATTTCCCACAGCTCCGTGATTGACAACAGAACTTTTAATTTAAATACAAAGCTGCTCTGAGGGCCTGAATATATAATCACACATATAAATATATTGGTAGGACAGAGGGAAGTGAATGAAAACATGGGGACAGTTGCACAGTTGCACAAAGTGTCTTAACTTAAGATTTTCCCTAAAATAAAAAACACCCTTAACTCTCCTCCTTAAGGTTTCCTTAAATATTCACTTCAGTATTTCAGGTCTGATACTGAAGGAATCACTTAAAGTCAGTTAAGCCGTTGCACAAAAGACCTCAGCAACGGGAGGCGAGGAATTGATTTTAGTGAGACGATATAGGTGGGATGTTAACCGGTATCACAAGTGCTAATGCCAGAAAACAAACGGTCTCCATGGAGACTGTAGAATCTTACCGCTGTAAAATCTCTTTCACTGCTGCAAATGCCTCAACTTTTACTAAAGTAACTCCCTCAGCTGAGGAGAAATTCAACCTTAAGTGTCTTTACTTAAGTAGAAAACTTAAGGTGTTTTGTGCAACTGGCCCCTGGATCGTATGTTTGTCTTTCCTATCTTTATCTGACAGGTCCAGAATCACAAGCAGTCACATGATCAGGTTGGAAAGAAGCTAACGCAGGATGCACAGGTAGCTCACCTGGTTAAAACGTCCAGCCCAAACCCTTCCCCTCTCCTCCAGCTGCTCGGCCTTTAACCAGAACCAAGAGACGCGACCACATCAGTCCTGCTCCAGCCTCCTCACACCGGCTCCCAGGACCTTTTACGATAGATTTAAGATTTTATCGATCACTTTTAAAGCTCTCCGTGGATCGCTCCCGGTTAGATCTCCAACCTTTTTAGTTCCGCACTCCCCGGTACGCACCTTGAGATCCTCCGGTCTTTTGTCTGTTCCAGAGACCCGGCCCCCGAGGCGCCGGAACAATCAGGTCGGCTGAGTCTGTGACCTCCTTTAACCTTCCGATGTCTAAGAGTAATTTCTTGATTTCCACATTATCTCTGAAGGAACTTGCATATAAGATAAAACTTAAATGTTTTATATCACAATATTGCTGAAATATTGCAAAATGCTGAAAAAGTGAAGCCCAGTTTTTTTTTAATTCTTGTGAAAACAAAACTCTACTGATGTGGATGAATTGTTTTGGTGCTTGAAAAATCTTAGGTTCATAGAAACAGCACAACATGTGAGTAAAATAGCAGATAAATTAATAATAAATGCCTAAAATGTTGTCTGTCACTTTAACCAAATATTTGGAGGCCTGTTTAGAGGCCTAGCTCCGCCTCTGGGTGACGTACTTACATCACAGTCATAATAACGTCCTGGTATACACCCTTGATAGAATCATATGCTATGGCCTTTACAGTCACTAGATCTCAGATATTGGAACGGCTGGAGGGAGACACAGGGACGACTGTGGGGAGATATCTTTAAACAATGATTAACAATCACAATAACAAAGGGAACGACACTCGCAAGTGTGTCCAACAGCGACAAGTGGAGAGGACACTGAACCTGACACACCTTTACCACCGTAGCCGTGACATCATCAGAGGGTGAGTTGGTGATGTGCAACAGTTCATGGGTGGAGCTGCAGGGGGCGCCGGCCGGGGAGACGCTCCTCCGGGTCGTGTTCATGTTGGAGGACTGGTTGTTCTTCAGGCTGACAGGTTGGTCGCAGCGGCCCGGTGAATCAGTGGCTGAGCTCAGTGTCTGCAGACTTTATGACGGAGGTTTATCAGAGGAGCCTGATTCCTCCATGTTGTTTTTAATAGAAACCCTCTGAGACAAAGTGTTCCTTCTATCCTCGTACTCTGATACCATAAAGTTTGGTCGCTGAGCTGTGGCATTAACTTGTATTCTAACAAGATTAAAATATATTTGTCCTGGAGATTAGCATAGTTAAGTCTCCCTTTTTTTTGGCTTTCGGGGTGGCAGCAGCAGGCTTTGATCAGTGCAGCGCGGCGAGGCCCAGGCTTGGCCCGGCCATCCGAGGCCTGAGTGTGAAATTGGTCTGATGTCATCCCCCATTCTCCACCTTCAGCAGCTTTTAGCCACCGTAATTATATTTCCGCCACAAAGCCCCCGTCCCCTTCATTCCATATTCCAAGTTTGACTAGGAAGCGTTTGGAGAACTATGGCTAAATTACTCAGTGGGGGGAAGGGGGACTGGATGGCCCGTCTTTTGTCCTTGGGACACATGGGACATCAATACTTAGTGATATGTACTTTTCTTTTCTCTGCTCGTCTGCCCTTTGCCTCTGCCTGTTGGAGAGGTTAAGTTTATGACAAGGGGACGAGTGAACTCTGGATAAAGTAGATGTTTTTAGGGTTTTCCCTGGAAACAACAGGAGCTGCCGCTGAAGCGTGGAAGGTTTAAACGGGACAGTGGCTCCGGGTTTTCACTGCTGCTGCAGAAACTGCAGAATAAATACAGCTGCGGGTTGATGGTGTCGTCGGCTGTGGAGACTACAGCTGTAAATGAGCTTTTTCTGATGCGATGATGTTCATTAAAATGCACTGTCCCGATCTAATAAACAAATAATTAAATAGATAGTGTCGTCATCTGAAGATCTGGAGTCTGATGGGTTTGAGACGGGCTGTGATGCAGTTTGTCTGATGCTGGTGCTCGTGTCTTCAAGTCAGATTGTTTTCAGCCACTAGAGAGGAAACCAAACTGAAAACCATCATCAGGAGGGAAGAAAAGAAAAAGAGTATATACACTGACCAAAGTTCATATTACATAGTCACTCTACCACTAAGGTCCTTTTACTGATCTCTACCCAGCTCCCTCCCTGAGGGTGTGGCAGTGGTGCAGGCTGGGAGACAGAGTCCTGTCACCTGGTGGCCTCAGGGTCAGGAGCACGACCACTGCAGAGGACGGCCCTGTGTTTCTGTACAACACTCAAACCAAACATGTTATGTTATGTTATGTTATGTTATGTTATGTTATGTTATGTTATGTTATGTTATGTTATGTTATCTTTTCGAGGGTGAAGCTGAAGGAGCTGCTTCATCTGCCATTTTTGGGCCAGGTGTGCAGAGGTGTGGAAGTAGGCGGAGTTAAACATGCTCATCTGACCGTCTGAGGAGAGATGAGGGGAGGAGTCAGGAGGAGAAACACTGACACGGCGACACCTTCATACTCTTCATGTCTGGAGGATTCAGTCCAAATAACCTTCATGTTTTACAACAGAGTGAAATGAAAAATTCAAAAAGTCACTAAAAGCTTTTGAATCAAAACCACATACGGGAAAAAAAAGATGTTATATTAAGTGTTTAAATTTGAACTAAATATAAAATCAGAGTCTGGTGTTGAATCTGGAAAAGCCCTGATCTCCACAGTGGGAGCCGGAGAAGGAAAACATGTCCGTTTCTCACCATTTCTTGGCTGCAGTTTTGTCACATGCTGCTTTTTGCATGGACACCCAAAGCATTTTGACCTTCATCCAGGTTCTCTGCCCCCCCCCGCCTCCCCGGCCTCAAGCCCCACCCCCACCTTTCAGGATGACAGCCCAGACTGTGCGACAACAGACCCAGCTCCAGCTCTCTCCCCCCTTTCCTCCTCCGAGTCAAGAGTAGCCGGGCTCATCGAGTCAGCAGCCGTTGGGCGTTACTTCCACATACAAGCAGCTAAGAAAGGAAATGCAGATGAGGCTCCTGCAGCCATTCACAGGGTCCAGGTCTCTGCTGCTGCTGCTGCCAGTGGACGAGTCCCAGACAAACTCTCCGGCTCTTTGTTGGTGGGTCTCCACTCATTTCCTCCACGTTCACCTCGCTCACACGCTCAGGTAAACTGCACACACACACACACACACACACACACACACACACACACACACACACACACACACCTCAGAGTTTTAACCTGAGACGTTTCTACTGAGACAAACAGATGAAGCGACGGGCTGATGACTGAGTGGGGTCATCCGGTCAGGTGAGAGCTGCTGGATCGATCAGTGTGAAACAGACTGAAAAGCCTCCACAGACTGTTGAACGTCCATCTGAGGTCACAGATGAAGATGATGATGATGATGATGATGATGATGATGATGATGATGATGATGATGATTAACTGAAGCCTTTTTATCCCTGTGTTGTTGGTGATCATGTCACATGTTGCTGATTGACTGCCCTTCCTGTAGACCAGCGGTCTCCAACTGGCGGCTCGTGAGCTCCCATGGGTGTTCTGTACAGTTCAAACTTTAAGAAACACGACTTCACTCAGTAAATCTGCTCTAAATGCAACTAAATACACACACACACACACACACACACACACACAGACACACACACACACACACACACACACACACACCCCATTCAACACCAGATCAGACAAATTAGTTTGTTTACATCGGATCAGCTGTAGGCCACATGCAGTGACGGCAACACTTCAGATAGAAACTAAACAGGAAATATGTTGCCATGGATACAGTGAGTTTTTTTCTCAGCTCATGTTCATTTACTTTTTGTAAAATGAAGAGAAGTGAATTATCTATTTAAGTTCATTGGATGAACTGACATCTATCACTGACTGAGGAGCTGCTGCTTCTTCTTCTCTGGTTTCTGATCAGATTCATGGAGGTTTATTTGCAGTGTTCTCATGTCTGTGTTCAGCTCTGACTGAATCATGACTCACATTTTTGTCTGATGTGAGTTTCACATGTTTCTGGAAGTTGGTATGTGTCGACTTGTTCAGTGATCTTATTGATCTGATGCAGTTTGGAGATCAGTTTCAGTGTTTGGATACGACATGTGAATAAATGTGACCAGTAATATAAAGACATGAGGAGCTCTCAGCCGCTTTTATTTTGTTAAAGTAGTTCAGAGAGTGAAACAGGTTGGAGATCTGTTGTAGACTGACGTGTTGTTGTTCAGGGAATCAGTACGATGTCATCTGATGAAGAAGAGGACAGAGGAAGACCTTGTCCTGCAGCTTCAGACACGTTGATGTTAAAGAAGCTCTGCACTGATAAACACCTGGTTGTGTTTGTGTGTTTCAGTGGCAGCTTCAGTCTCCAGAGTGTGACTGTGACCTGAGTGTGTCTGCGGTCTAAATGTCCTCACCCTGAGTCCATGTCACTGCTGTCACATCACCAGCTCCTATCTCTGAAATATCAACATCAAGAATTTATAATAAAAAAATAAAAATAAATGTTTTTTTTTGTTTTTTTTTTTTTTACTTTAACTTTAAATGTATTAAACTCTGAAAACATGAAAAAGATCAAACATGGAGATTTATTTTTTCACTGAGCAGCAAACATATCACATATTATTCTGTTTTTATATTTCTATATAAATATATATTATTGATCTATTTATTTTTAAGGTAAATTTAACACGTGGGTCAGCTGCACTGTAAATAATACATAATAATCTGTTATATTTAAACATCATTAACTGTGATTTTCATGTAAATAAAGAAACAACGACGTCACAGTAAAATTTCTGATAAATTATCAATAATACCTAATTTGTATTTGTCACAGCAGAGACACAGCTGGAGTCCTCCATGTTGTGTCCATGCCATCATCATCCAGATGTTTCAGACCCTCACATCAGATAAACACCAGAGTTTTTCCCTCCTTTGTAAAACATGTTTCTTTCCGGCTATAAAATAAAAGCACGACCTGAAGAGTCAGATTTGCATTGTTGTCGTTTATTCACCATCACACCATCACGATATAAATTATTTACATGTAGCATATAAAAGAGAACAGCTGATTATTTCTTCTGTAAAAATCCTGATATGAAAGCGCCGCTGACAGAAAAGCTGCTGCTCTGACTCTGAAGGTTTCAGCTTGACTTTAAGGCAGAAGCTCGTTCACGTCTGGAACTGAAATAAAAAACATTCACAGCATTTGGTTTGGACCCAGAGAAGATGTTGCATTCAAACACAGGAGTTATTGCAGGAAAATAAGTTATGTAAACACTGCAGAGCCCGCGCCCACGGGCCTCACATGTCCATGTTATTATAAATAAGAGTACAGTGGTTTTTGTCACTGTTCGAACCCGGTCTGTTTTCTGGACCGGTCTGTGCTGCAGGTCCAGGGTCTGGCCGCTCAGTGAGACCTGGTTCTCGGACCGCAGGGGAAGCGGTTTAGGCTCAGATTGGAGTTTTTGTGCTGGTCATTTAACTGGACAACTTTTCAAAATAAGTGTTGTCCTACAGCTCAACAGAAAATAAAAAGGAAACCAGATCCTGCTTTTATTTTGAAAATCCGTCGCTACTTTATAAAACCAGGTCAAAGAATCATTTTTGTTACACTGTGATCATTGTAGACTCTGTGACGTCACCGTTCATTACAACAAACTGCGGCGTTACATTCCCAGATCTGAGGCGCGTTTCGCGGCTTTTAAAGGCTGTAGAAGGCAGACAGCAGGTAAACACACACACACACACACACGCACACACACACACACACACACACACACACACACACACACTGAGTTGCTCCCACACTAAACTCTTTGGGTTTCAGCAGATTCGTTTCATTACAACACACACACACACACACACACACACACACACACACACACACACACACACACACACACACACACACACGAACACACACACACACACACACACACACATAGGGCTGTAGTGCGCGTGACCTTAGATGTTGTTGACTTTTCCCGCCTCTAAAAAGGTCAGGTCTAGAGTTCCTCCTGCTCTTTTTGTTTGGCGGGAAAGTGATCAAATATTGTTGATTTTTGTGTTGATTTTTTTTATCAATGCATGTTAATTGAATTAATCTGGATCTGAACCAGTTCAGGTCGTGTGACTGAGGTCTGCGTGAACACCGAGGCCGGGTCCAGGCCTACACCTCTGACTGACACGTGAACGCAGCACCATCTTTGACCCGGATCAGACGTCGTCGGCACTAAAACCCTGAAGACACGTAAACTGCACACACACACACACACACACACACTGAAGACAAACCAAAATCGTCTCTGGTCTGGTTTTAAATATGAATGCTGGTACTGAAGTGGTTTTATTGCATGGTTCGGGACCCCCCTCCTCCACTCCTCCCCCCGGGCCTCCTCTAGTCGCTGTCCGACTTGCCGTCCTTGGACGCGGCGTGGTTGTACAGCCCCTGCGCCATCAGGTGCAGCGCCAGAGAGTTCTTGTTCCCGGAGGCCTTCTTGATCTTGGCCCGTTTGTTCTGAAACCAGATTTTGATCTGGGACTCGTTGAGGCCGAGGTCCCGGGCCAGACTCTGCCTCCGCTGCTCGGTCAGGTACCGGTTGTTCTGGAACTCAGTTTTTAGCCGCTGCAGCTGCTCCGCCGTGAAGGCCGTCCGGGGCCGCTTGTCCTCCTTACTCGGGGTCGGGGCCTTCTTTGGTTTGCGGGATCTGGGCCCTGGAGCAGAGACAAAAACCACATCCGGGGGTCAGAGTCAGTACAACCACAGAGTATAAACACAGACAGAGCTGCTGCTGATTATTGATTATTAGGAGGATTATTTTGGTGTGTGACACCTGAAGTCAGAGACTCTGGTCCCTTACAGCGGGGACTGAGACTGAGACCACGTTCCCACAGTCCCCCTCACACAGGTCCTTCAGGTGTGGCACAACAAAATAATAATAATAATAATAATAGTCCCCGCGACCCTACTAGAGGATAAGCGGTAGACAATGAATGAATGAATGAATAATAATAGTAAGATATTACGCGTACTTTTCACAGATCTGACCACTGGACTGTATTTGGGTCAGGGGTCGGGGGGGGGGGGGGGTTTATCCTTCAGGAGGAGTTTTTAATTCAATGAAAATGTTTGTTTGACTAAATGAAGATCCGCCTCTGCAGACCCGGGTCTGTTCACACCAGCGTCTCCGGTTCTGTCTGATTTTTTTCTCCATTAAATCTGATTTATTTATATTTCATGTTTTATTTTTATGAGATCCGGTTCGGCCTGTAGACCACATGTGAACAGCTGATGGGGTTAACCCCCTGACACACAGTGTGTCAGTCAAATCCTACTGAGGTTTAACCCCTGAGGCAGCAGGTCCTCCAGATCCAGATCCAGATCCAGATCCAGATCCAGATCCAGATCCAGATCCACATCTAGATCCAGATCCAGATCCAGATCTGCTGCAGCACTATGAAAACGGGAGAAGGAGAAAGGGTGCAGATGGGGGTGGGGTCACGATATGATCGAGGACTGGGGGGTTAGGCGCCTCTTTCCCTCCCTGTTACCATAGGAACCACATTTTAAAAAGTAGTTTCCTAAAATGATAAAAATAAAAGAGTAAAACTCGGTTCCGGTTCTGTTCAAACGTTCAGAAAAACCCGGATCCGGACCGAAACACCAGAGTGTGCTCTTCTTTCACAGCAGGCCTCATCAGCTGTTTCATTTAACATCGATAAACTAACTGAGACCACCATCACCCAGAATCCCGACCAGCACCCAGAGTCCGGCTCAGACCGCTGCAGGTCTCCTCTCAGTCCAACAGAAGTTTTTCCTCTGACGGGGGCCTGGTGGTCTGAGCTGCGGCCCCCGGACCCCGTGGAGGCCGGTGGGTCAGTCCCTCAGCAGCTCAGGCCTCATGGAAACTTTCAGTCCCACTACAACAATAAAACATCATCTGAGTCCGGATCAGCGTCCGGTCTCGATTCTCACACACCACTCTTCGATAAAGACTAAATTTCCCGCGCTCAGCTGTTCGATCATGTTTCGGAAAACATCCGCTTCTTCAGTCTCAAACCACGACAAAGGAAAAGTCCAAGTCCACCACGCGTCCACTAACCCTAACCTCCAACATTTAACTCCGAGCTGAGACCGCGGGACCCGGTCTGAAGCGGACTCAGGTGGTCCGGACTCTGGAGGATCTCAGACCACCGCGATTTTATTTATTTATTTATTAATAAATTAATTAATTTGTTTGTTTGTTTGTCAGCGAAAAGACTTTAAAGTCGTGGTTCAGCATTTCACATCCAACCCGGATCCTCCGGGACTCGCGGCCTCACTTTTTAAACCCCCCCTCCACCATTGTCAAAAAAAATATGCTAATGGATATTAACAAAGAAGACTGAGGAACAATGGCGTTAAACTTGGTTTTACTTCACTCCTGCTCGTTTTCGCTTGATTTTTCTCTCTCATTTCATTTCTGATTTATTTTTGAAATCACTTCCTGGAATCTGTCAGACTTTATCTTTATTTTAAAACCAGGATCCGGATCGAATCATCCACAACAACAGGAACTAGTTTCTACTCCGCGTCAAACTACTTTGTTCGGTCCAAAATCGGTTGGTGATGAATGATAATTTAAATAAAATGTTGAAATCATTTTTTCTAATATTGAAGTTATGAAATAATAAAAAATAAATGATAAAATTAATTATGAAGGTGAAATAATCGGTTTGTCAAATGTAAGTAACTGTCGAACAGCTGGAAGAATAAAAAGAATAAAATCTTATTCTACTTTTTTTTGTTTCTTTTTTGTATTTGTTCTTTTTTTCAGTTTTTTTTAATTCACATGTTTTTATCTGAAATAAGAAGCTGAGTTTTTTTTCTGCAACTCAGCTTCTTTTTTTTGAAGAATTCAAACTGAGCTTCGTTCAGTTTTATTTAATTTTTATTTATTATATCTATTATTATTTTGTTTTGTTTTATTATTTCTTTGAATTAAACAAAATATTTGACACAGTTTTTTTCCCACCAACCTGAGGACGGACGGTCTGAGTAGCGGGTACAATAAACCCAGGCCGGCCACAGCATCGGCTTGGCTCCAGGGGCCGCGCTGGCCTGGGGGCTGAGGCAGCGGTCCCCGCCGCTCGCTCGGCCCTTCACAGCCGCATCACCGACTCTCAGGTCAGGCCTCCTGGCCTCGGGGTCCGGATGCTGGTCGTCGGATGCTCCCGTGTCCTCCTCTTCTTCCTCCTCCTCCTCCTCCTCCTCCTCCTCCACCTCGCCTCCTGCTCCACCCTGCTGCGGGTTGCCAGTTTTTGGAGCCTTTCTCCCCGTCAGCTCCTCTCTCCGCAGGATCACTCCCAGACCGTCCCTGTCCCGGACCAAAGTCCCGTCCTTCCTCTTTCGGCCGAAGTCCGGTCTTAAAATGTTGTCGATGTAGAAGTTGGTGATCCTGTGGGACTGCTGGTTTCCAGGAGGCTGGAGGAGAGGCAGGATGGCCCGGTTGGACTCCTCGCCTCGGATGGAGTCCTCTGGGTCTCGGCGAGCATTTTCTTCCATAATGATGAAGCCTGGTCGCCCTCAGGACCTGTTTCTGTGCGTCCCTGTGCAGAGCAGTGATCCCAGAGTCCCGGTGCGTCCCGCTCACCTTCTGATCAATGAACGAGAATAACTGCGAGTCAAAGAGAGAGGTTTAAAATCCTGCTGGAGCAGTTCACAGTGTTTCTGCAGAGAAAAGGCGCCTCTTATGATTTTGACAAAGAGAGATCATGCTTCAGTTTGAGAGGCCGCTCCTCATCCTCACACCTTCATCACAACATTAAACTCAGCTGGAAAAAAAAAACACAACTGGAGTGTGTTTAATTTCTGCGGCTCTGCACAAAATGATTGAAGCTTCCAGCAGCTGAAAGAGTCTGATGAAGACGAAGCTCAAATACTTTCACTACGGATTTTGGTTCTCATTTCTGATTGGCTGCGAGATGCTGCCGTGACGTCATATTACGGGTTTCTCAGACACGTGCCTCGGACCAATGGAGCTGGGGAGTTGATGTCACGTGAGGTTCCCGGAATTCCCTGGAGGCACAGATTAACCCAATCCACAGTCAGTGTGTGATGCGTTCACGGCACAGCGGAAACATCTCATTACTGCAGCTTTATTTTCCACTGGTGGAGGCTGATCAGCAGCCTCGGTCCGGATCGGGTCGGACCCAAGAGTCCCTGAACCGTCACAGTCCAACAGGACCAGGCCTCAGCACAGAGGGTAAGTTACGGTTACATCACATCAGGGTCAGTTAGTGTCAGTGCCTGTAGACCGTGAACACATCAGCCTCTCTCAACTCAGGTGAACTGGATCAGCAGGTAGAATTTACAGGTAGACAGGTACTCTTTCAATAGGCTTACTTCAGATTTACCACAGCACCTGAATGCAACACATGTTACTGTCAGCACAGTGTGGTCAGAAACGCAGCAGGTTTTAGGTCCAGAAACCTGAATCCAGTTCTGGTTCTGCTCAGTGAGTCTCAGTGTCCCTCTTGTGGAGCAGTATCTCTGGGTCTCCTTCACATGTGGACCTGGTGCTGCTCAGAGCAGGTTCTGAATCTTGATGGCGGGCCAGCCCACATGCATTTACATGAGGTCTGACTGTGCAGCAGGAGTCCAGCTGATCCTGGACTCTGGGTCACAGGAAGTGGACTCTCTTGAACTGGAGGCCCAGAGGTCAATGTTGTGAAAGAGGCTCCAGACTCAGCTGGTTCAGAAGAGGCTCGGCACGGTCTTTACCTCTCTGGACCCTCCATCTCACAGGACAGACTGGGGTCGGTCGCAACAAGTCTTATTGCTCCAATCAGAAACATGCTAAAGCGATGACACTCATACTGCACATGCTCAGTTAGCCCCTCCCCCACCAGGAAATCAGAAGACACATTCAACATCTGCTGCTGCATTTATTGAAAATAACTTGTTTTGGATCTGTGGAAGTGAATTTAGTCAAAACTTTTGTCTGAATTAATTAAAACTTGGTGAGTTATAATCACTGATTTGTTGACTTCTAAATGACACGGTTAATGTGTGTCAGGTCTTGCACATGTTGTTCTGTCACAAGTTATTGTAACTGTTCTCGAGCTGAGCAGCCGAATCAGACACAACGTTTTTAGATCAAAATAGACAAAATACGCTGCTAATTTTGTCCCATTGCACAACAGAAACATAATCATTCCTCATGTTAACATAAAGGAAAATACCAACAAGTTATTTTGTGAATTATTTAGTTATTGCCTCTCCTGCTCTTATAATATATTTGCATGTTCTGTTCATTATAAGCAATAAAATAGATAAATTGTGTAATTGCGACTCATGGTAGGTTCTATGTTCTACACAAAAGAAAACTCAATAAATGTTCTTTGATAAATATTATTAATCAAATAAATAATGCTAATATTATTGTAAATGATGCATATTTTCAGAAGCTTATTGAGAAAAAAGAAAAACTTAACTGGTGAAATTGAATGTATTTTAATATGTTGCAGCTGCTCTCAGGGTTGGGGTCAGTTGTAACATCTGAATTCTTCCATTAAATAAATCTAAATGAATCATCTTTAGATGGTGTGGGTCATTAGCGGACAGATGTAAATTTAATATATAAAAGTTTGGTTAAATAATCTCTGAGTAACTGAGAGAAATATAGGAAGTGTTGCAACCATCCCCGGTCTCCTCTGCACGTGGTGTCACACCTGTCAGCTCAGGCCCAGGTCAGGTGACGTCATTCGTTAACGTTGCTCCTGTGGAGCGTTACTTCAGCCAGGTCGAGTTCATATTCAAAACCAGCGCAAAACTAAAGTTTACCGCGCGGAGCAGGCGAACAGAGGCCGCTTCGCTCCTGTTCGCGCGAACTGAGGCGAAGCTATACGTCCGCTCGAGCTGAGTCCACTTCGGACTGTGGTTAGGGTTCTCACCCAGACCAGGACCCGAGGAGCCCAGACTAGACACGCTACTGCACGTCTGGACGTGTGTGTCGGTACAACACAACAACAACAACAACAACAACAACAACAACAACAACAACAACAACAACAACAACAACAACAACAACAACAAGGCTTGTGTGTGTAGCAGAGGGACATTCGTTTGGCTTTGCACCTGAACGCAGCATCTGGGTGAACTGCTGTGTGAACACACACACACACACACACACACACACACAAGCAGATTAAAAAGTGAAAACAGTTCTGCTCTGATTAAGGCTAGAAAGGTGATAGGGCCTGTATATATACATACATACATACATACATATATATGTATATATATATATATATATATGTATGTGTGTGTGTGTGTGTGTGTGTGTGTGTGTGTGTGCGCGCGCGTAGGCCTATATGGCTGAAGAAAGAAAGAAAGAATGAATGAAAGAAAGAAATAAAGAAGTGGTAAATCCAGCTGTCAGACTGAATGTTTTTAAATTGGACTTGGACCGTGGATTTATTTGTTTTTTCAGTGTGTATTTGACCTGTCACGCTTCGCTCCTTGCTGTTCAGTGGAGGCGGACTGCATCAGAACTAAGCCGGGCACAGAGCACTATAATCGGCCGCACGGACAGTGGAGCAGCTCGCGGGGCTGGAGCGGGACGGTCCCGGCAGTCTGAGGCCTGATACTGGGTCTCAGGTCGAGGCATAAACACGTCACTGCGGGCGGATGACAACCCCGTATCTCTGTCGTGACTTTGTCGGGAAACACTGATATTTTATCTTATATTATTACTTTTAAATTATAATATGTTAATGTTATAGCTAATGTTATATTATTACTCTTAATTATAGCTAATATTGTTCTTATTTATCATCATTATTATTATGATCATATTAGCCTATATCATTAGTCTTGTATTTAAGTCACTTTTATTAGTATAATATTATGTTATATTATATTATATCATATTATATTATATTATATCATATTATATTATATCATAGGCTATTACATTATATTATAGCTGCTATATTTTTTGTCTTATAAGCTATTATAGCATACTATTACTTTTATATTATAACAGTGGTCTTATAATCTTATAATATAATTTGTCTTATATTATATTATTAATTAAAATATAGTAAAATAGTAGAAATAACAGGATAATTCCCGCGCTAAAAAAAATAAATGTGAGCAGTAAAACGAACTCAGGTCCCTTCATGAAGTCTGTTGGTCCGTGTCAGAGCTGCGTGTCTCTGCGGCTTGGTCACATTTCCCGCCTCCAGGACTGTGTCAGTGTGATGTGGTGAGGCCTGAACTCAGTGTAGATACCTGTAGTTACTGGTGGTTCAGGTAACGATCCCCTGAACTTCAGGTGTTTTCAACAGGCCCGTTTGATCTCCACGTCCACGTGGTTGGATGGTGTTGTCTCCCGCTCATGTAACGCTTCTTACTTCAGCTGCACGAGCCTGTGTCCAGCTCTGTGATTCACCTGTGGCCTTTAGGCCAATCAGAAGCTCTGAACATATGTAAATGCAGGTGGAGAAAGACCAATGTCAGCGTGATGAGTTAAGACGTAATCACGACTGTGCGCACACCTGTACGTATCAGTGTTAACATGAATGTTATTCAGGGGGTCAGGTACAGGTCTGTATTCACTTCTCTCCGAAGGGTCACACACCTGCTCCTCTGCATCACGTCACACCTGAGGCAGGTTGTCATGGCGCCAATCAGCTGATGGAGCCAGTTTAACAAGAATAATAAGAACACGCAAGAATAATAATTATTATTATTAGTATTTATCATTAGCCCTGTGGTGACTGAGGTCCTCTGACTCTCTGAGTGCTGCTGTCTCATTGTGCTGGTGCCCAGATGTGAGATGAGCCTGGAGACAAAGCAGAGGTCAGCTGAGACCATCAGCTTCCTGTCCCCCTTTACAAAACCTCTCTGAGGGGGAGGAGGGAGGAGGAGGGGAGACACTTCCTATTCCACTCTGTCTGCTCTGTTACAGTCAGTGCAGGGACACAGTGATGAGCAGTGGGTTCAACCATGACCTGATCAACACGAGAGACACACACCTTCAGTTTCTGATCTATCATCTATCTATCTATCTATCTATCTATCTATCTATCTATCTATCTATCTATCTATCTATCTATCTATCTATCTATCTATCTATCTATCTATGTCGGAATCGGAGTCCTACCTGGACAGAGTCCTCCTCTGGTCCAGCTCCTCTCTCTGTAACATGCTGAAAGGCCTGTTGCTGTCACTAACTGCTCTAATCCTCCTGATCGTCGTGCCGTGGATAAACCCGGTGTGAAAGCAGCCTGCGGGCCGGGCTGACTGGCCTCCCGGGCTCCGGCGGAGCTTGGCCTCCTGGACCGCCGCTCGGTCCTGCATGAGTTCACAGCAGTGGCGGCTGACAAAGGGAGGTTTTGCTCCGGTGCTTTTTTTAATTTTGAAAGGCCTCCCTGACTTTGTCCTCTGGAGAAGAAAAGGACGCAGCACACACACAGGAGACAAAGCTGAGCTGCACTTCTCTTCTTCGGTCTTAACGTGTCCTACAGGAACATGAACAGGTTCTTCAGGACCAGGAC